GACCAGGGCCTGAGGAGCCAAGTCCAGATGGCAGGGAGGCTGGAAGGACCTCGTGCCCCTGGGAGAGGAAGTCGAGCAGGAAGGTCGTGAATTCAGCACAGACGGGGAGGACAGCTCTGGCAAGGGGATGGTGTCCTTGCAGTCATCCTGGGAGAAAACTCTCTCTGGCTTCATCAATACCAGAAGCCGTGGCTGGCCGCCAGTGTCCTCTGCTGAGCCCTTGCGCCAATAAATACTTGTTGGCAGATCGATTAAACCATCTAGGAACGACGTCTGGAAATACGGCTTCCTCAGTTCCGTGCAGGTGGACAAGCTCGCTCAGTCAGGCGCAGATAGCCACGTTTCTACTCTCCACCCTTTGAAAGTCAGCTCTGGGCACTGGTGCCCACTCTGGAGTCGGGCCAGCTCAGCTGTGGGAAGCGTAGGCAGGGCGGCCCAGGCGGCAGCAGGCAGGGCAGGCCAGCGGTTGTAAGCTGGGTATACACACAGCCCTGCCACTTGCCACCGGTGTGGCCTTGGACAAATTCTTCCCCAGACTCAGTTTATCCTTTATAAAATGGGATAATAACAGTAACATTGCCTCAAAGCTTAATGTGATTAAAAGAAAAAAAAAATGAGTAGAACACTCAGCCCAGGGCACAGAACATGGGTGGTATCCAACAAAAAGTGTAATGATTAATACCCTCAAAATCAAAGCTGCTGGGGACTTCAAGGCCACTTGTCTCTGTCTGGGGCTCCTCTCCACTTCCTGTGTCACTCACACACCACTTACCACCCCAGAACTCCACGACGCAAACACAGCCAGGCTGCCAGCCCTCCCAGCCCCGCCAGCATGTGGAAAGAGAAGCCCAGGAGCCAAGGAGCAGCTCCCCAAGCAGACTCCAAAGGCCTGGCCCACCGTAGGGGCCCAACCCTCACAGTAGTCGGGACACTTGCAGTGACAGTCCCCCGTTAGTGATCAAGCATGCCTGATTCATGGCCACCGCTGGGGCTGTCTTTATACAACTTAGCTTTCAGAACACCCTGCAGAGTTCTGTGCTGAGCCAAGAGCTTTGAGGGCTGGAGATGAAGCCGGCGGGAGGAGGAAAAACGACAGAGACAGCATCTCCGGGCCTCACCCAAACTCACTGCTGAAGGCAAGGGGACGGCCCTTTGCTGCCTGGCCACCCAGCCAGGTAGAGCAGACGTCCCTGCGCATGCTTCCTCCCCCCACCCCCGCCTTATCTGTAAACAGCTCCACGAGGTGCCCGCTGGGCCAGTCTGCCTCAATTTGAACCCAGGCTCCCTAAGTTGCTAGCTGTGTGTGTGACTTTAAGCAACTTCCTCAAGCTCTCTGTGCCTCCAATTCCTCATTGTAAGCTGAAGATGATAACACAGGTATTATTAGCTCAAAGCGTCAGTACAAGGATTAAATGAATTAAAATTTATAAAGTGCTTAGAATAAAACCCACCCCCCCACACACACACACACAAAGCACTACATAAGTCCATCATTGTGGCTGCTATTATTATTAGTTGAACCCTGGGCACCCTGTGACAGCTTGCCCACTTGCCCTGGTTTCACGCTTCTCACTCACTCAGATGGCAGAACCCCTGGGCAGCCTGCAGCCTCTGCAGGAAACTCCAGGATGCTGGGCCATTCTGCTCTGTGGTGTAGCAGAACAATTTCACTTGCAGGAGGTTAGACAACGTTATGCATTTGCAATAGGAAATCACACCTCCAGGAGTTCTTGCCCTCAACAAACACATGCTTCAGAGTTAAATGCAGTAAGCCCTTTCTAAGTCTTTCTGTTACAGTCATAAAAATGAAAAAATTGAGAAGGTGATATCCATTACCTTCCTTCCATCACATTAAAAGAAAAGCCTCTATTAAGGCCATTTTTGCTTTAATCCATAGGTGAAGCCCAGAACCTCCCCAGCTCATCTAGTTAACCACAGCAGTGGGCACCAGTTGCTATGTGTCTGCTCTGTGCTGGTAAACTTTGCCATCTCCATTTTACAAGGGAGAACACTGATGTTCACAGAGGAGGTGAACTGCCCACAGCCTCTTGCTGAGTGCTGGGGCCAGAGTCTAACCCAGGTCAGTGAGGGGCCCGGGGCAGAAATCTCCCCAACCCACGAGCTTGTGGGGAAGCAACCTTAGAGAGTTGTCCTGCCTTTTCACTCCTGAGCATGTCACTGACTCTGGTACCCCACAACTCCATCAGGTCTGAGTTTAGGGGCCTGCCACCATGTCCACAACCAATGTTAGCTCGGAATTCTTACTATCCACAGAACCCCACCTTGGGTCACCTTCCGTGCCAGGGACCCACTAGGGCCAAACTATTCCCAGTCCCCAGGGATCCATGGTGGACTTCAGCCCAGCTTACTGGCTATAGGCGTCACATGATCCCTTCCCAACTACCCCTGTGAAACTCCACTGCAGCTTGTCCTACTGCCCACCCTATAGCCAGGGCTTGTCCCGGGCTGACCATGGATGGGCCTTTCAAGCCCAGAAAAGTTGAGTTTCCCTTTTCTGCAATCACACCCCTGCCAGAGAGAGAATTACTCCAGCTGGAGAACAGGCAGACAAGCCAACCCTGTCACTGAATGGGAAATGCCACAGGCTTGCATCACATGACATCCCGGCCTCTCCTGCCTCCTAGATCCAGTATCCCACATTCAGCCAACCTGAAAAATCATGGCCAGAGGGGAGGGGGATGGAACACTTGAAGTTTCAGTCCCACCAAGCTTCTCCAACCACCTGAAGGACCCATGAGCTTAAAGTGCCCCAAATACAACCACCCTTTCCCATCCAACCTCCCCAGGCAGAACACCAGGGAGACTGCTCCTGATCCCAACATGCTCTTGAAGACACTGGCTGCAACCCTGTTAGCACATTAGCTTTGTACCTGAAAACCAGGCCACAGGTAATACCCATGTGTGAATCAACTGCCAAGAGGAAGCTTACTTTAGGGACATCACTGTTGGCTCTGGCAACTCCCATTGGGTGTCAATGTCTGCCCTTTAATCCCAGCTACCATAGTATTGGTGCCACCACAAAAGAGCTCGCAGCAGCTGTGAAAGGGACCTGATACCGTCCCATTTTGCAGATGAGTAAAGTGAGTCTTAGGGAGTTGTAGTGAGTCACCAAAAATACAAAACCACTGAGCACTGGGGAGGCCATGTCAGACTCGGTGGTATACCAAGGCCACCCTTCTGGTCTAGTAATTTTTCCAGCAAGCAAATTTTCCAATTCCATCAAGTAAAGAGTGTTTGTTGTTGCTGTTGGTTTTCTCACCACTGATGTTTGCCTGGTCACCATGTCTAAGAGGGTTCCAGACACTTTCCGCAAGGCACCATGATGACTAAATCAGCCCTTCTCAGGATATACTCATCCGCTCCAAGATTTAGCCAGTTAAATAGAAAAAAATGAAACAAAACTTTGCCAGTAAATGGCAATTTTACTCCAACAACCATGAAAATAAACTATGAGTGAGAATGTCGCCAATTATACCAGAGAGCTGAGTGTATCAGCCACTTTTATGTTAGCCTGCCACCCTTGAAAACTGTCAACCCAACCTATGCTCAGGTAAATGTGAATTTTACTTGAGTAAAATCTTATCTTTGACCTATTTTCTGGAGTGTTACTCTCAGTACCTCAACTAAAGTGGGGAGCACAGAAAAAGAGTGGGCTTCGGAGGCCAACAGACTCAGGGGGCCCGGTTCTGGCTCTCTGTAGCTTTGCTCTTCCGTTTTTTTATCTCTAAAACAAAGGTCTCGAAGCTGCCTCACAGATGGCTGGCTAATTACATCTCTCACTTAAAATTAACAAACTGAGCTGGGTGTTGCAGCTCATGCTTGCAATCCTAGCATTTTGGGAGGCCGAGGCAGGAGGATTGCTTGAGGCCAGGAATTTGAGACCAGCCTGGGCAACATAGCGAGACCCCATCTGTACAAAAAAATTTTTAAAAATTAGCTGGGTGTGGTGGCATGTGCCTATGGTCCCAGCTACTTGGGAGTCTGAGGCAGGAGAATCGCTTGAGCCCAAGAGTTCGAGGCTGCAGTGAGCTATGATGGATGACACCACCACTCTAGCCAAGGCAACAGAGTGAGACCCTGTTGCAAAAAAAAAAAAAAAATGTAAAATGAATAAACTGGACTTTCTGCTCTAAGCACCAGCCTCTAAGAGCTTTAAGGTACAGCAGGAAGTCTGTTTAGACAGGTGCTGGTCACTGATGCACGGGAGTGTGCAAGCCCACAAGTGCCTGACTCCTGTCTCTGCTTATCTGGATTCAACTCGGGACAGGTGACTATGTGTGCCTCTGTCCAGAAGCCACCCTGCCTCTCTGAGTGACTCCTTCCTAAAACCAAGAACCATTTTTGTTACTATGATTTTTAAGCTGCCTCAAAGGATGGTTGTGCATATTAAATGAGAGGAGGCCATAGAGTTGTCAGGAGTCAAACCCAGCAGCCTGTTGGCTTGTCTTCAGCCTGCAAAGGTGTTTTGTTTGCCTGAATAGTTTTCAGCGGCTGTCAACTTTAAAAATTTGGATAGTTCACACAATCTAGATTTCTGGGTTCTCTCAGAAAAACCAGGCATTTGAGTCCAGGGACTGTGACTTGTCACTGTCACGCTGTGAGTAGCTTGGATCATTTCGTACCACCCTTATGCATACTGAAAAATTTGTAATTGGCATTGACATTCAAAGCCCTTATTAGGTGCCAGTCACCGTTCTAAGCACTTCACATATATTATCTTAATTGATCCTCGCAGCAACCCCGAGGTAGATTACTATCACTGTGCCGCTTGCACAGATGGGAATACTGGGGCACAGCCCCAAATCACCAAGCCAGCAAAGGAGAGAGTCAGGATCCAAACCCACGTACTAACCAGGACTCTACACTGCAGGGCGTCCCACCTGCCATGGAGGGCGTGGGCCCCCTGCTTCCCGCCCCCCGCCCCAACTCCCCAGGAATGCGCAGCCTCGGAAGCCCCCTGCTCTCCTAGCCGAGCACACTTACGGTCAAGGCCATTGATGTAGCGCATGGTGACTTCGCAGTGGCCCCACACGGCACTCACCACCGGGTACAGCTTCTTGCCCTTGAGGCCTCGGAAGGCCACGCCGAGGTACTGGCCGTCCACGATGAAGCTGAGCGTGCCCTCATCCATGTCCAGCACGACCAGCAGCGAGTCCGGCAGCGCGAAGGCCTCGTCGGGCCCCAGGAAGGCCGGGTAGGCCACGCCGGGCCGGTTCTTGCCGTCGTGGTAGAGGCGGCTGCGGCCCAGGTCCCAGCCCCACGACTCGGCGTCACTGCCCACCAGTGCCGTGTAGCCCACGGAGTGCAGCGGAGCCCGCGCCGTGGCCACGCCGACTACCGCGTGGGTGCCGCGCTGCCGGGCGGGCCAGTTGATCTGCCAGGCGTGCAGGCCGCGGGCGTGGCCCACCTTGCCGCGGATGCCGTCGGTGCTCTGCGCCACCGGGTGCCGGTGGAAGGTGAGCCGGTCGTCATCCTTGACGAAGACATTGAGCGAGCGGTCCTCGGGGTTCCACGCGTGGCGCAGCTGCACAGCCAGCCCCGCCGCCGGCATGTCCAGCAGCTGGTCCAGCCGCGCCGGCCGCCCGGGCTCTGCGCCCCGCAGCTCCCGCTTGGCTGGCCGCAGCGCCGGCTCTCGCACCTCCACCGACTTGAGGCTCCCTGAGAGCTTCTGGCCCATGGTTGGCTGCGGGGAGGGGGCCGCTGCAGGCCACCGCTACGTCGTGGGAGCCTGCACTCCCCGCAGCCAGGGATGGGCCACGGGGCTGGGAACCAGGCTTCCGGACCGAAGACCTCCACAGCCTCTACCGGGCTGGGGCAGGGGCCCAAGCTCCTGGAAGGAAGGAAAGGGCATGGGTTAGAACAGCAGCATCAACAGCCAGTTACCCATCCCTTCATTTATGCCCATGCCTTGGCTGAGCCCTTTGCATGCTTAATAATCTAGCACCAATCTGGCACTAATCTAGCACTTGCCATATGCCAGACACTGCTCTAAATGATTTGCACTTACTAGCTCATTTCCCTATAAGACATATACATTATTATTCACATTTTACAGATGAGAAAACTGAAGTGCAGAGAGAAGATAAATAATTAGCCAAAGTCCCACAGCTAATAAGTGACTGAGCCAAGATTCAAACCAAGGTCATGTGGCTTCGGAGTCTGCGTTCTGCACTTAGAACAGTCACAGGTAATCTTATTTTAGATAATAAAGAGTGAGCCCAGAGCAGTTGTGACTTGCCTGAGATCACAGAGCCCCGAGAATCCATGTGCATTTGATCCCAGGGGACAATCCCTGTGCCAAGGCTGAGGGGACACAGCTGTTGAAGACATGGGACTGCAGATGTATAGAGTATGGCCCATTGGTTCCCAATCCTGAAGGCCCTGGGGAGCTTAAATAGCATCCTAAAATGCAGCCAGACTTGAGAAGCAAGACACAGAGTGTGCCTCCAGTAGGGTCACATGGGGACATGGACATAGGCAATCATCGGAGGATTGGGTGGGGTCTCCATGGGAGGATAAATGGGAGGAAAGGCGGAAGGATAAGCAAACTGGTGTCCAGACTATGGAGCCAGACAGAACTGCATAAAAATCCCTTTCTCAGTCTCTTAACTGTGTCCACAGGAAGGCCTCCTAGCCTCTGTCTGAGACTCCAGGTTCCTCATCTGTAAAATGGGGACAAAACACCTCCATCCAGTGGTACGGGGATTTGAGAGGCAATAACACAAAGGGCCAGGCCTGGACTCTGCAGGCAGGTTTTCCTTCCTGGCTGTGTTCTCTGGGCATCCCACATGGATCCCTTCCCTTTGGATGGGCAAGCCTTTCTTCGGGCATATAAACACCATTAACAAGCATTGACCCCAGACTGCCTTCCCTGAAACAGGATCCTAGCTCTCATGGAGAAGGAACTGGCCACCACCACTAGAAGACCAGCCAGAACCCAGAGAGCTTGGGCTGCTTGCATGGGCCCTGGGTGTCGGGAGAGATGGAGAGCCAAGCCCTGCAGCCTGTCCAGAGCAAAGCGTGTGCTCTCCCCTCCTCAACCTGAGAGCTGCCAGGCTCTGAACAACTTCCCCTGAGACAGACCAGGAGACAGATGGGTGTTTTAAGTGCCCTGCCTGGCCTCAACCCAAACAGTGGCACACTCCTAGCCAAAGCCCAGATGAGGAAGAGAAAGAACCTGCTGCAACACAGCATGGACAGGTATACTCTGTGCTCCTTTTTTAACTCTCACATTTTATTCTCAAATCTCATTTTCTTTCCTTTCTATTGTCAGATCCCAGCTTCAGCAGATGTCAACCCTATTCAGTGAGCTCTGGCTAATGTGTGATCTGAGGCAATACTAGAACACATAAAAATTTGCAACACTAGACAGTTTTAAGATAGCAGAATAAAGTTACTCCTTTTCATATCTGAAATCACCCCAACTCAAGGAGAAAGAAACAGAAACGCAATCTCCCTCTTCAGCAAAACTAGAACACATTTGTAACCTGAACCACAACTTATATGGGAAGGCTGCCAAAAACAGGAAAGGGCTGCCAAAAGCGGTGAAGATTAAAAAGGCTGTGAGAAAACACCTACAGAAGACACCTGTGGCTGCAGATCTTGGATAAAGCTGGCAGAGCCAGCCAGTAGCTGGCACTCCCTGAAGGAAAAACACAATGATTCCTTACCAAGAACAATGGGAACAAGGTATGTAGTCTGGCAGTGGGAGCTGCCTCTGACCCTCTGGAGTAAAAGGTGGGCAGGGCCAACAGAGGAAAGCACAGATCAGCCATCTTCATAGGAAGCAGTGTGTTGGCGAGGCAAAGTGGGAGGAGGGCTCTGAATTGGGAGAAGACCACAGCTACAGATCTCTGCTGACTGAGTAGAAGCAAAGACTAAAAGAAATTACTACCATGATCCTGCGAACAAAGTTCCTGTGAACCAGGGAGCAATCCTGCTGTCCTGAAGTACTTCCTGGCACTTCCTCTACATGCGTCACTTGCAAAATGCTGATCCAAGAGGGTTCACGGCTTTCAAAGAGGAACCAGTAAAAGATAGAGACAAAGATGCTATAGAAGAAATAAAGGAATAAACAGACAGGACAAAACATGGAAAACCAAGAAAACTCACCAGAAAAAAGCTGTCACAAAGCAGATAAAAATTGTGACCA